ATCTGTAATAGGGCTATAAAACAGTTCTGTCAAACTCATCTTACCTTGCACCTCAGGATCTTACCTTGATCCCGATTGTGGGGCTCTTTGCAGGCTGAATCCAGCCTAGGGCATATAGTGCAACTTCAGATCCTAATGCATGCCCAATGCCAAAGTTGGAAATGCTGCCACCATAATGTGTCCCATGCCACACTGGCAGCTCTAGTTCTGGTATGGGACATGGGAAACATGGTGAAAGCGACTCCAGCATATGGCATCAGTGGGTCTGGTTGCTGAAGAGCTGGTGCCACAGCAGTGACGATGGGTAAAGCAGCTGAAGGGAGACAATAGTCCTAATGCTAATACAAGAACATAATAATGGTCATTTACTGGGTGAGACCATAGATCCCTTTTGCCCAGTATCCTGTGTCATACAGGGGCAAAGAGTGGATGCTGAAAGGGAGACAACAGGATATGACCAGGTTTTTTCTCACTGTTCCTTTCCCACTTGAAGCCTCCAGCATTTACGGTCTAGGAAGTTCAGATTCAGATGTCGTACCCCTAACTAGTGATGTACCTTTCCTCCAAACATCTGTCCAGTCCCTTTTTGAATCTGGTTAAACTGTCAGGTTCCACAACTTCTTACGGCAAAATCTGAATTACATGCTGTGTGAAAAAGAACTTTGTTTTCTTAGTTTTAAACTTATTACCTATTAGTTTGATTTTATGAGGCCTAGTTCTTGTATTGTGAAAGGCAGTAAATAATAAATCCCTATTTACCATCTCTTCACCATTTAGTATTTTGTAAACCCTTATCATGTTCCCCCTCAAGCATTCTTCTAAACTGAATAGGCTTAGGCCTCTTTAGTCTTTCCTCACAACGGAAGTCCCTCCATACCACTAATCATCCTTATTATCCTTCTCTGTCCTTCTGAAGTTCTACCGTATCCTTTTTGAGGTGCTGACACCAAAACGTGGCACAGAATTCAAGGTGTGGATACATGATGGATTTAAAGAGGAGTACAATGACACTTTCTATACAACTTTCCAACTTTCTTTACAATTCCTGTTTTTACTAATTCCTAACATTTTTTTTTGCCTTTTTAATGGCTGCTTAGCTCTGAGCTGATGTTTTTAGCGAGCTATCTATATTTTGCCTCTTTTATTCACTTTCTTCCATATTGATAAGAAGAAATAACACCTGATATGAAAGCTTGGAACCCTCCAGTTAGCCACATTGCATGTTGAAGCTGTCTATTTATTCCATTTACTCTGCTTTCTCTCTCAATCAGTTTCTAATCCACGAAAGACCTCATTTTGGTCAATTTTAAACTCTTTGAAGGAAGCAACAAATCTTTTAAAATTCTCCTAAGTCACATGCAAATTTGTAGTGCTATATAAATATTTATACACTTCCAGGGTTGTTTTTATCAGATCGTATTCATCTCAGCGTTTTATGACAGGGATGCCAGATCTGGTTTGCAGAGCCACTCTATCCAACCTCCTGGGCTACCAGTGGGTTACCAGAAGTTGAGGGACATGGTCTGAGCGGTGGCCTACTGCAAAATCTTGGTCATTTGGGCTCTGATGGACCTGACAATTGGTGGCAGCCTCTGGCCCAGCTCCTTAGCCACCAGCTCTGCTGACACTGTGCTGGAGCCTTGGATACCATATACCCCAAGGCTTATGTCAGAGCTCAAGCTGCCATTGCAGTACAGGGCATGTGGTGGCAGCACTGGTTCTGGCTCTGGCATGGGACATACAGCAGGAGCTGGACTTGGACCATGTTCACTGGGTCAGAGCCAGAACTGCTGCCACTGCATGTCTTGCGCTGGATTCAGCTCCCAAGGAGCCCCATGCTCTGGATCCAGTTCAGGGTGCAAGGTGAGCTTGAGATCCCTGTTTTGTGGCCCTATTAGAAATGTCTTTCAATTGAGTTAAAGTTCTGTGGTCTATAACTAGAGTCATACATTGCATCTTTCTTAAAAGTTAGATACAATATGAATAGGGGTGCACTGATAGAGATTGCTGGGGCCGATACCGATAGCTGATTTTTAAGGAGGCATATCAGCTGATACTGATCCGATTTCCAATACTGAAGAGATGTGTCCAGCTGGTAAGTTTGGTGTGGTGGAAGGGGAGGGAAGGGGTGGGGGGGGTCATGCAGAGCAAGGCCCCTGCAGTGAGGGAGGGAGTAGGGCTGGGCAGGGGCAGGCACTGACCAGCCAGGGAGGGGAGGGAAGGGGTGTGGGATAAAGCTGCAAGTAGCTTGTCCAGGGGGCTGGGGGTGTGGTGCTGTGCCACCTGGATCTACGTGGCATGGGGTGGGCTGCAGCTGCGGGCTGGGGCCAGGGTGGAGAGGCATGAGAAGGGTGGGGGGTGGGCAGCTCCTGCTGCTGCACGCAGATCGGTGCTCATGTAGCAGCTTCCACCGCTACTCCTGCTGCTCATCCTTGATCTGCCCCACCACGACCCTTCCTCCTCCCTCCTCCTTATTCCAACACACCGGACTTACCAGCTGCACACAGCACTCCACACTGCCGGCTGTACTCCTCACTGCCTATGTGCTGTGCTCCAGCTGCACAGACACATGGGCATTTATTGGAAAAATCACTGGCTGCATTGGACCGATTTCTGATACAGAACATTTTCTTTATATTGGTGCAGATCTGATATTGGGCTGATGTATCGGTGCACCTCTAAATATTCACTACGCTCCAGTAATTTATACCAGTTGATCTGGAGGCTACTGTATTTTGTAATTAATGTGGTGAAAAGTGGGGGAAACCTTGTGCCTTAGAAAGATGACAACAATACTGATTACAGCAATGTTTAGCATATTTTCTCACACACCTATCTAGGCTTCATTGTCAATAACCTCCTGGTATTCTAGCCCTAAGCCTCTCCTATATCATAGCCTTTGTGCTGTGGGCACACCACCTCCAGATTAGGAGCTCACTAAATTCTTTTTCACGGGACCTAAACAAAACAGGAAAATAGGGTACTTATACATATGCTCCAGGGTGGGGCATGGGGCCTTTTAATTAGAGTGGCTCTTGGGGAAACTGGTCTAACTAAAATGCTGGCAATGTCTTGTGTATTCAGCGCCCCATGTTTCAAAATAGTGGCAAGGGTGTTTTGATTATAGTTCATTCAACAAGCTTTAGTTAAAATGCCCCACCGTTATTTTGAAATGTGGGGGAGCTGAATTCATTTGATGCTGCAGCACACTGGAGCATTCTGATTAAAATGCAAGTGTTGATTAATCGAGTCTTTTCTGATGCATGCTAATCAGAATGCACTGGAGAATGTGTAGAAATGCCCTATGGATTCTTCCACGAGTGTGTCAGAAACTGACTCAGGATGGCACCTACCAATCTGCTTTGGGTTGCTTCAAAGGATTATATCAAGTCAGTTTCCATGGTACTTTCAATATCATTTTCTGTAAAAACCATCTTATATACTTGAAAACAATTCTTTCCTTATTGATTATGACTTGTTTTCCAAAATGTCCTTTGAAAGGATCAAAAATGCACATGGCTGCTCTCAGGGGACAAACTGTTCTCTCAACATTTGCCAAGTGAGAAAAAGTTAGAACAAAAAAGGTCAAAAGTCTCCTAATGCAGAGAAACTGGAAGGAAAAAATCTTATACAGTGGTACCCAAATGGTTTCAGTTTATCCCATCTAGATGTGGCTACAAATTAAGCAGCAAGGCTAGAAGCAAGAAGAAATGCGGTTAATTAACTCCCCCAAAACAGAAAGTCGTGTTATGCCTGAGAAAAGCATTTACACTGGCATAAATCTTTGTCCGGCCTCCTCAGTGGTCATGTCACTCCTTGTGTTCCCCATAGCCCCGCTCTTGCCATCAGTTCTGGGAAACTACATGTATCCAACTGCAGAATCTGAGCTTCCTGGTTATTCCAAACTCTCTTAGACTTAAATAGACTCTCACCCCCATTTCCAGTGTCTTTCATACCTCTTTCAATGCTGTGTAATTGCCACTCACTTCACTTCTCATAGCCCAAGAGGCTAGAAGAAAACAGTGCAAGAAAAGTACGTAACAAGAAGGTGTAAGAAAATCCGTATTACTTTATCACAATTTGCATTTCTCTATGTAGTGCTTTAATCCTTTAGCTCATATATAAAACCAAATCAGGCCCTTCTAAAGATCAATAAGAATGGCTGTATGGCTTATGTCTCTAATGCATTTGATGATGTGCTGCATTATGTCTAAGCATAGCCAAGCTAGCTTTGGTTTAGAAACAATGTGGTACGATGGGCTTTGGCATTAAATACATAAGCCCACCTCCATGTTTACTGGGGTGGTGTGTGAAGCCCAAGCTGCCATGGCTCCAACAACACTGTTAGATATGAGCAATGATCTCCAGGGAAGTTTCCACACAACCCGTGTTGTCCCCATATGTGCTGCTCCCACAAGGCACATCCAGACAAGTGTGCATTTGTGGTATGCAGCACATGCACCTCAAACCTGTTTGAGGTGCTGCAAACTGCGTGCAGCACATGCACCTGTTTGCCATGCTGCAGTGCCAAAATCTGACACGGGGAGATCCCAGTATCAAACAAACAAACAAACAAACAAAAAAATTGCTGCAAAAAAGTGGTATGTGCATGCAGCAGCAGTATGTGCCACTAGAAACAGAGCTTGGCCATCCAGGGCCATACTCTGGCTGCCAGCCAGGTTCCATGTGACCGGGGCCAGATTAGCACTGCTGCTGCCCTGGAATTCTCCTAGGTAAGGCTGCTGTGGCCAACACACATGCTGCAATTTGTGCTGTGGCAAATGCATGCCCAATTTGTGCTGTGGCAAATGATGTGCCCACAGGGTAGCACCTTGATTTCATGTAAAACTGCACGTGAGGTGGAGGAAAGGATTTTGGCCATGCTCGTGTAGATGAAGCACCAACACAATCAGTTGTGCAGCTGCAGGGGAAGTATTTATGAGTCTACTTCTGGCTTAGAGCCCACAGAGGAATCACAATAAAGGTCAGAAATAAAATACCTCATGATATTTTTTCACTGTTTTCCCGGAGGTGCATGTGCAAGATTTCCAATTTGCAGTGCCGCATCCACAGTTCCCACCGCAGCGCTGGACCAGGAGGCAGCGGGGAAAGAAAACCACATTTGTCAGTCTCAGTTCCTCCCTTAAGTTGACAGAGTAGTTCCTCGGAGTGCAGCTGTAACGTTTCACATCATCATTCAACCTGTCCAGGTCAACTGCAATGCAAAATAGCTCTGATTTGTAAGGGTTGAGTGGACAGTTCCCTAGATTGACAAGTATTCTTCCTTGGGAAGCTCACAACACAGTTATACTCACTGGATAGGGGCAGAAATTAACTGGTATAAGTTTTTGGAAACTGGTACAAATCTGTCACACAACAGAAGTTCAGAGCACATAAACCACTTTCAAAATGGCCGAAACCCATTTAACATAAACCTGGATATGTAGTATCAGACTTACCTGAATTAGGTTAAATCAGTTTATTCTGTCCCAGATCCCCTCTAGATTCAAGTTAACTCACAGGCTAGGGACAGACATTACACATAAACAGGTTTAAGTGATGAGAAACTGGTTTAAACCTGTAGCAGACAAGACATTCAGTGCACATAAACCAGTTTGAAAATGGCTGAAAATGGTTTGAGACAAACCTGGCTGAATGTAGTATGAGACTTAACTGATTTGGTTCAAACGAGCTTATGCAATGTCTGTCCCAGACCCCTTGATGGTTTAAGTTAAATCAGAGACCCCCAGCATCCCAGCATACTCTCTGGGCTCGGTTCTGCTCCAGGGAGCTGGGCTGGCCCATCCCCTCTTCTGTCTAGCCAGAGCAGGGGTGGGGTGTTGCCAGACGCTGGCCTGCCATGGCCCCTGAGGCAAATTCCTCCCTCCACCCCCTCTCCCCTCCTGCCACTGGCAAACCCTGTGGACCTCTATGGCTTTCCTGAAGCCCAGCAGAGACAGAATTAATTCCTCCCTCTGTCCAGCTTGCCTGCAGCCACGGAGGAGATTTATTCTACAGCAGTCCGGAGTGGAGGAGAAATGCAAGCTAGTCCCTTATGAGCCCAGAGCTAAGACCTGCAGGGTCAGACTGAGAGGTGGGAAGTGTTGGCGAAGACCTGACAATTATCACATGTGTGCTGGAGATGGAGTTCAGGGAAGTTGCAGACAGTTTCTGGCTGGAAGTTTCAGACCAAAGAATGCAGAGAGCTACATTTACATTATAAAGAAGAACCTGTGAAACCTAAACAAAACCTTTCTGAATGCCTGGCTGTCAGGAGACACTCTGCCCTCAGGATTAGTAAAACTTATGCAAGGCTTTCTCATCTTTCTCTCGTTTTAGTTGTTAAAATTCACAAAAATTAAAAAATACCCTGAAAGCCATTTTTACAATTTTTTAAAATAAGGACTTAACATCCTCTTTCCCCCTCCCCCTCCCTATTTTCATTCTTTGGAAGTTATTCTCTTTTGGGTGTTTTTCAGATTTTGTGTTGGATTCATTACTGAGAAGTTAAAAATGTGTTTCTACAGATGCAGGGAACTGTCTAATGCAATCTGTGGTTTGCAGCTCAGTTTGTGCCCCATAAGAGAATGCTCTTCATATTGAAATGGCAATCATTAGCAAATTCAAATTAAGATGCTTGGGAAGTACATTCTTAATTGATAAAAGATGGTTCAAAAGATTTACTTTGATTTAAAAAAGGCACTGAATTATAGAGAAAGGAAGCATTGAAAGATGGGAAACTAATATTGATAGTATTCATTATGTTTGGAAAAAATAACTAAATTCAAATTAAAAGAAGTTTCAACTGATAAGCAAGATTCAGCAAATGATGGGAGCTAATAGTTAAATTAACATATAAAGATATAGAACTAAGCAACAACAACAGAAGGCTATGTACTAGTGAACTCAAAATTCAAATCTTGAAAACACTTATGCATGCATTTTATTTTAATTGTGTGCTAACATCCACTGTAGTCAGTAGAACGATACCAGTTTATACAATCTGTAATTTCAGGCATCAATCTATATACTAATAAATGTCAAAAAGTAAATTGTGCATTACCATTGATTTATACAATTTTTCAGGGAAAAGTGTATTTTTTAAATATGCACCTTTACATATGTGGCTTTAAAATATTTATATATTCCAAATATATATGCAAAGGTGAGTCTTTGAATTATAGAAGCATAATTTACCACACTCATCTAAACTCCACTTGTTATGCAATATATTGATATGATTGGTGGAAATCTAGCAGATAAATCAGAATTCTGGACATGTTGTAGCAATTCTGATACATCTCACGATTAAATCTCATCTGTTCTCTCAAGAGAACTAGTATTGCTACAAAGAAGGTATATATCTCCCTCTTGATATAAACACAAAATCAATGGGAGTTTCTAGTACACTCATGCACCAAGAGAAAAATATACCCCAATTGTCCTTAGCTAGGACTTTGAAGAATAGAGAATATTGATTTTTTTTGTTTTAACAGATGGTATTTTGTACTACGTTGTCATTCTTCAAAGCCACTCCCTTTCATTCCTTTTCCCTTAGGCTAATTATTTTTCTCGCATGGAAGAGGCTTTTTGTTTTCCCTCCATAATTCCCATCACAAAATTCCAAAGACATCTTTGCTTAAACATAAAGCAAAGACTACTTTGCAAAATATTCCCATGTTTACCTGAATCTAAGAGGAATTCAAATTTAAGGTGACCACCCTGTAATTACAGTCTATAAATAGAAAATTATAAATTTGCTGTAATTTCTCAGCATATCTTGTTTATTCTATGATTTTATGAAACTCGTCTCCCTCACAACTGTGGTAGGGAAAGCAGTAGTGGGGGCTGAGGGGCCAAACCCCTTTCCCTTGCAACCCTGCCCCTTGCCTGCTCCTGTGCTTGTCTTCTCCCATCTGCTCCCTGTCCCCTCTGCTATTTGCCCTACCAGTGCCTGCCTTGCCTGCCACTTAACCCCACTTCCCTGCTATCTACCCCCTTCTGTCCTGTACTTGTTTCTACCCCCCGCCACCTTTCCTGCCTTCCTCTTGCTCCTCCCCAGCATCTGCCCCATTGTCCCTTGCTCTCAGCTTCCCACAACATAACTCCCTGCCCTTCCCACCCTTGCTTCAACCAATCACATGCCTGTGCCTGCCCACCTAATACCTCTCCCTGGTGCCTGCCTCCCCTGTGACCTGCTTCCTGTCTCCTTGCCATGGATGGCTCTGGCTCCAAGGCAGTCAGCAGCTGTGGTGGCCCCAGTTTGGCCACAAGCTGTGGTGGCAGCTCTGAGCTAAGCTGGGCCAGGGCCAGAACTAGAACTTAAAATAAGTGAAGGTAGGGTAAGCGGCTGGGGCAGAGAACAGGACAGATGAGAGACAGCTGCAATGAAAAGGTGTAAGTAGAAACTTGCACAGTGACTGCCCCTGCTAACCCTAATGGGCACATCCACACAAGCATGAATATATATTTTGCAGTATCTCAAACTCCTTTGAGACGCTGCAAGAGGCACATGCAGAAATGAAGAAATGTTCTTTGCGCTGCAAATTTGCGGCACGGGGACAAAATTAGACCCCTGGATATCCAGGGGTAAAAAAAAAAAGGGGGGAAAGGGGGGGGGGGGGCAGGGCACCGTCCCAGATCATGCCCTCAGGCAACTGAAAGCTTGGTCCTTCACAAAAACACTCAGAAAGGGTGCTATGCTGATATTTAGTCAAGGGGGAAAAAGCTGCAACATGTCTTTGGAACAGTATTCCAGTGTGTTAGGTAAATATGACAGAAGGCAGGGTGGATATGCACCTTATATGCTAACTAAATATGTATATGGAGAGCATAAGCTTTCATGAACTTGAGCTCACTTCATCAAATGCTGTGAAAGCCTCTACTGGCTCTGCAGTTCCCATCCGAGTCTGGCAGGTGCACAGCAGGTCACAGGCAGGCAGCAGCCCCCACTGCCAGACTGCTGCAGTGGGTAGAGGGTGCAGAGAACTCTCAGGGCTGCTTCAGCAGTCCAGCTGCCACAAGGGGTAGTGTCCCCAGTTACTAATTGGCTGGGCCCCAGAAGCTCCTGAGAGCGAGTAGCCCTAAGCTACTTGCCAGGGCAGCTTTTTGTACTGCTGGGGCCAGGACAGGGCAGCTTTTTATACTTCTGGGGACAGCACAGGTGCTGGCCCTCGGCTCTAGCTCCCCCTGACTGCAGATCCAAGAGGAGCTAGACAGGGTAATTTTGCCTCAAGTGGCACAATTTTTCCTACACCAAAGCACATGTCCAGGCATGTGCACCAAGGCAAAAAGCCTCGGCTCAAATTTACACTGCTTCTATTTCAGTTGCTGCAAGCACACATTCTTGTATGAGTGGATGCGCCCAATGTATGTTAAATTATTTCCATAATGCTAAGGAAATAATACTATGCACAGGAGGAAACAATCTTTCCTGGATTATTTAATGTTATCCTAAGATATTATGGAATCATTTGCAAATGGTATATAACTATTGTGTGAGTTAGCATGTAATACCCAAGTCTTTTGGTCCTGCATCACAAGGATTTTACTAACAGATTGCAGGGCACAGGGCTACTTGTGACAAGTTTTTCTCCATAGAGGGCTTGCTGATGAACAGATCACCTACAACTTCCATTGCAACAGGGTGAATGCATCTGATACCCATCTCTGCATGGAGCTTACATGGAATGTATCACTTCCCCTTCATAAAGGGTGTACAGCAGTTCTCTTCCAGTGTACAACTGTTCTCATATGCACAGTGAGTTAGTGTAATGCATACTATACGGAACTGTACCTTTATACCAGGGGCAGGCAATTATTTTGACTGGAGGGTCACTTAATGAGGTTTAGTGAGGCAACAAGGCTGTAAGGGTAGCTTCACCCCTTGACAGGTGCCCTGCCTCCTAGTTGCCATTCTGCCCCATAACCCCTGACCTTTGCCACTGTGAGTCTCTCCCCTTGTCCAGGAAGTACTCCTTTTAGGGGCGGGGGTTTGCTTGTATATTATGTGTGGAGGGGTGAGTGGGGGGTGTTGGTATGGTGCAAGGGTGGTGTGTGGGGGTATAGGAGGGGAATATGCATGGGTGTGGGATGTGTGTGGGGTGGGTGTGGTTGAGGTGTGGGGTGTGTGGGACTGCTGTGTGTGGGGGTGTGTGTTTGGGGTGTATATGTAGATGTGTGTGGGGAGTGTGGGATTGTTGGATGTGTGTATGA